AGTAAGTCACTGATCCATGGCCATAAAATGTCTTTCCATTTACTTAGGTCTTCTTTAATTTCTTTCAGCACTATTTTGTAGTTTTCAGCATACAAGTATTACACTTGTTTTGTTAAATTTATTCCTAAATATTTTACTCTTTTTGATGATACTATAAATAGAATTATTTTCTTAATTTTATTTTTGGATTGTTCATTTCTAGTATATAGAAATGCAATTGTTTTTTGTATGTTGATCTTGTATCCTGTGACCTTGCTGAACTTGTATATTAGTTCTAATAGGTTTGGGGTTTTTTTCTTTTTTTGTGGATTCCTTAGGCTTCTCAGTATATAAGATTATGTGAACAGAGACAGTTTTACTTCCTCTTTCCAATCTGCATGTTTTTGTGTCTTTCTTTCCTAATTTCCCTGATTAGAACCCCTAGTATGATGTAGGATATAAATGGCAAGAACAGAAATCCTTATCTTGTTTCTGATTTCAGGGGGAAAACATCCAGTCTTTTATCATTAAGTATGATGTTAGCTCTTGGTTTTATATAGATGTCCTTTATCAGGTTGAAGATGTCCCTTCTGTTCATAGTTTATTATGTGCTGTTTTTATGAAAAGGTGTTGGATTTTATCAAATGCTTTTCCTGCATCTATTTTGAAACGATCATGTGAGTTTTTCCCCTTTATTCTGTTAGTATGGTATATTACATTAATTGATTTTTCAGATGTTAAACCAACCTTGCATTCCTGGGATATATCCCACCTTGTCATCTTTTTTATATGTTGATGGATTCAGTTTGCTAGTATATTGTGTGGATTTTTGCATTTGTATTCTTAAAAGATATTAGTCTCTAGTTTTCTTGTGCTGTCTTTATCTGGTTCTGGTATCTAAGTAATATTGGCCCCATAGAATTCAAGTGGGGAAGTGTTCCCTCCACCTCCTCTATTTTTTGGAAGAGTTTGCAAAGGATTGGTTTTAATACTTCTTTGAACATTTGGTAGAATTCATTAGTGAAGCTCTCTGGTCCTGGATTTTTCTTTGTGGGAATTTTTAAAATTACTTATTCAATTTCTTTCCTTGTTATAGGTCCCTACACAATTTTACTACTTTTTCTTTCAACCCTAAATATTTACTTGTTAAGTCATTCAAGAAATATTTATTGAGTACCTATTATATCCAGACCCTGTTCTTGGCACAGAGGTTAAACAATGAATAAACCAAAAGCCCTGGCCCTCTTGGAAGTTAGCATTCTCATATTCTATCTCTCTCTCTTGCTCTCATGCTCTCTCTGTATATGTATTTTTGTTTATTTATATTTATTGTATCAATAGTTCTATGCCTTGTAAAAATATAGCTACATGTCATTGGTAAGGAAAGCAGGTCCTTAGGTTTGCTGTGTATATTGTTGTAGTTTACATAAAGTCTAAGGTATCCTTGAAGAAAGTTGTGTACGTGGGAAATGTAATACAGTCATGTGCCACATAACGATGTTTTGGTCAACAACAGATGGCATACACAACAGTGGTACCATAGGATTATACTGGAGCTTAAAAATCCCTATTCCCTAGTGCTGTAGCTATTGTGATGTTGTAGCACAATAGACTACTCACGTGTGTGTGGTGATGCTGGTGCAGACAAACCTACTGTGCTGCCAGTCGTATAGTGTAGCACATACAACTACATACAGTGTATAATACTTGATAGTGGTAAAAATAGACTGTTACTGGTTTAATGTTTTTATTATACTTTTTATCATTATTTTAGAGTGTATTCCATATACTTATTTTGAAACAGTTAACTACACACAGCCTCAGGCAGGTCCTTCAGGAGATATCCAGAAGACGGCACTGTTATCATAGGAGACGATAGCTCCGTGCATGTTATTGCCCCTGAAGACCTTCCAGTGGGAAGAGCTTGAAGGGTGGAAGACAGTGATACTGATGGTCCTGGCCTAGGCTCACGTGTGTGTTTGTGTATTAGTTTTTAACAAAAAAAGTTTAAAAAGTAAAAAATAATTAAAATTAAAATTTTTTTAAATAGAAAAAACTTATAGAATGAAGATACAAAGAAAAAAATCTTTTTGAACGGCTGTACAATGTGTTTGCATTTTAACTTAAGTGTTATTGCAAAAGAGCCGAAAGGTTTAAAAGTTTATAAAGTTACAGTAAGCTAAGATTAATTTACTGTTAAAGAAAGAAAGAGATTTTTTTTATAAATGCAGTGTAGCCTAAGAATACAGTGTTTATAAAGACTCCTATCGTGTACAGTAACGTCCTAGGCCCTCCCATTCACTCGCCACTCACTCACTGCCTCACCCAGCGCTACTTCTAGTCCTGCAAGCTCCATTCGTGGTAAGTGCCCTATACACGTTTACTATTTTTTTATCTTTTATACTGTATTTTTACTGTACCTTTTCTATATTTAGATATACAAATAACCATTGTGTTACAATTGCTTGTAGTATTCAGTACAGTAACATGCTGTACAGGTTTGTAGCCTAGGAGCCATAGGCCATACCACACAGCCTGGGTGTGTAGTAGGCTGCACCATCTAGGTTTATATAAGTATATTCTATAATGTTTGCATGATGACGCATTTCTCACAACTTATCCCGTAGTTATGTGATGCATGACTGTGTGTTATTATTACAATCACATTTATATTGGTGCTTACTGTTGGCATTGCTACAAGGACATGACTTTAATACCTCTATTCATTATCATCCTCACAACCATCAAGTACCTTCTACTCCGTATGATCATCAGTAGAAGCATGTATTAGTTTCCCAAACTGGTGTCTTAAAACAACAGAAATATATTCTCTCACTGTTATGGAATCTAGGAGTCTGAAAGGTATCAGTAGGGCCATGCTCTGAGACTTGGGTAGAATCCTTTCTTGTCTCTGCCTGGCATCCGGTGGTGGCCATTAACCCTTGGCATTCCTTGGTCTGCAGCTACATCACTCAGATCTCTGCCTCTGTCATTACATGGTGTTCTCCTTGTGTGTCTTTGTGTTCACATGGTGTTTTTTCTTCTTATAAAGACACCAGCAAGGCCGGGCGTGGTGGCTCACGCCTGTAATCCTAGCTCTCTGGGAGGCCGAGGCGGGCGGATTGTTTGAGCTCAGGAGTTCAAAACCAGCCTGAAGCAAGAGCGAGACCTCGTCTCTACTAAAATTAGAAAGAAATTAATTGGACAACTAAAAATATATAGAAAAAATTAGCCGGGCATGGTGGCGCATGCCTGTAGTCCCAGCTACTCGGGAGGCTGAGGCAGGAGGATCGCTTGAGCCCAGGAGTTTGAGGCTGCTGTGAGCTAGGCTGATGCCACAGCACTCACCCAAACAACAGAGTGAGACTTTGTCTCAAAAAAAAAAAAAAAAAAAGACACCAGTCATCTTAGCTTGATCACATCTACAAAGACTTTATTTCCAAATAAAGTCATATTCACAGGTACCAGGGGTTAGAACTTCAACTTACCTTTTGGGGGGATATAATTCAACCCATAACAGAGCAGTGTGCTCTAACTCTGAGATCATTGAACAGAAGCCTCATCTTAATAACATGACTAATTTTAGTAACTTTTATGGAAGTTTCATGGTATATTTCTCTGTCTTTAAAAAATAATGTCCTAGCAGCACAATTCACAATTGCAAAGATGTAGAAACAACCCAAGTGCCCATCAATACATGAGTGGATTAATAAAATCTGATATATGTATACCATGCAGTTCTACTCAGCCACAAAAATCAATGGTGACCTCTTAAATTATCCTGGATAGAGCTGGAGCCCATTCTACTGAGTGAAGTATCACAAGAATGGAAAAACAAGCACCACATGTACTCACCATCAAATTGGTATTAACTGATCAACACTTCAGTGCACATATAGTAGTCACATTCATCGGGTGTCGGGCAGATGGGGGGGAGGAGGGAATAGGTATGTACACACCTAATGGATGCAGTGCGCACCATCTGGGGAATGGACACGCTTGAAGCTCTGACTCAGGTGGAGCAAGGGCAATATACGTAACCTAAACATTTGTACCCCCGTAATATGCTGAAATAAAAAAATTTAAAAAAAATAAATAATGTCCCTTCCCTATCATACAAAAAGTCCTGAGGTATAATCGAACACACACATTTTGTCTTCTTCTAAGCATAAATGCTGGAAACTAAGCAGAGACGAGTGATTCTCTAACTAGGGCTTGTAAAAGATATTCAAAAGTAGCATTTCTCAAATCACAGTATATATGCCCCCCAAAATAAAACAGAATCATTTAAGAGTTTGTGAATGACTGTTTGGAACAGCAGTTGACTGCTCATATACACTATTCCCCTTGCCAAAGTAACAGAAATCTTACACATAGACCAGTTTAAGCAATGCCAGATCCATAGTGAAATAAAATAACATGGCTTATGAAATCGTATTCATGTGTTGGAAAATGCTATATACATGACAAGTGATATGTCTATATCTATAGACACATAGATATAGATATATGTAAAAGGACAAGTACTAAGAACAGAATAGTATCTTCTGAGCCTTTAATGGTCCCATTGCTAGTTTCAATTCTGTTTTTAATAATGCTCCCAAGTATTTTCTTTATCCACAATGCTGTCATCTCTACTCTGTCACAATGCAAATATATTTGAGTGTCTGTCATTCTGTAGTATTCTGGTGTGGTGAATATAGCACTCTTGGGAGCAGGACTGGAAAATCTGGATTCCTTTTTGAAAACAAAGCCCATCCCCCAAACTAGTGCCCTGTTCCTCTAGCAAAGAAATGCTGAGACATCATGCATATTTGTTGCTCTCACCAAGTCTTGGACGTACACCTTCCATGTTTAGGTATTTGTTCTTTGGTTGTTTTCTTTTCCCATTTTGAACTAAGGCATTGACTAATTCTGACATTCCTATTGCTGCTTCATCCATTTCTGTTCAAGTTTCAATTATGAAATGAGATTGAAAACTTTAATTCTCTTTTATTTTTCTTTCTTTTAAAATAATGCAGGGCAATCTAGAGCAGCCATGATACCTCCCAAGCATCCACGGCAGCCCAAGGGAGCTTTGGATGATACCATTGCCTTTGGAGGAAAAACAGACCAAGAAGCACCTAATGCTTCTCAACCCACACCACCCCCACTACCAAAGAAGATGATCATAAGAGCCAATACAGAGCCGCTCTCCAAAGACCTCCAAAAATCCATGGAAAGTAGTCTGTGTGTCCTGGCTAATCCCACCTATGATATCGACCCCAACTGGGATGCCAGCAGTGCTGGCTCTTCCGTCAGCTGTGAACTTAAGGGACTGGACATTGAATCTTATGATTCCTTGGAGAGACCTTTGCACAAGGAGAGACCTGTCCCCTCAGCAGCAAACAGCATCTCCAGCTTAACCACTCTCAGTATTAAGGACAGATTTTCCAACAGCATGGAGTCCTTGTCCAGCCGGCGTGGTCCCTCTTGCAGGCCCGGCCGAGGCATTCAGAAGCCACAAAGACAAGCACTTTATCGAGGACTTGAGAATCGGGAGGAAGTGGTGGGTAAAATCCGAAGCCTTCATACAGATGCGTTGAAGAAACTGGCTGTTAAATGTGAAGACCTCTTCATGGCTGGGCAGAAGGACCAGCTCCGTTTTGGGGTGGACAGCTGGTCAGACTTCAGGCTAACCAGCGACAAACCATGTTGTGAGGCAGGCGATGCAGTTTACTATACTGCTTCATATGCAAAAGATCCACTTAATAACTATGCAGTCAAGGTAAGAAAATATTATAAATCTCATTTTAATCTTACCAACACACTATTATTGGGTTGGATCCATTCCTCTCTCCTCCTTTCTTTCCTCTGTTCCTCCATTCTGCAAGCATCGAGCATCTACCTTACACCAGATAGTATTATAAGCAGGGGCTTATTTATTATTTAGAGGAGAAAACAGACGTGTAAAGAGACAGAGTTACAACAGTATACCGCACGCTAGGATGTAGTTAAACGGGAATTCTGTGGGAGCTTGGAAGGACCTTAACGCAAACTCTAGAAGTCAAAGAAGTCTTCTGAAAGTAGATAATCCTTGAGCTGCAGCTATTTGTAAGGGTTACCTGTAAAAATGAGGTCTTTTATGTACCTTTCACTCCATGTTTCTGTCTTTATTCTCTACCAAATAAGAGACTCTTCTCTACCCTACTCTATAACTCCTCAGGTTTCTAGAGAAACATTTTTATAGAGGAAGATAATTAATATTTGTTGATATGCCAGGAACTTTATTTTATGTAATTTAATCTTCTCGACAGCTTTATGAGATTAAGATCTTTTTCTCCATTTGACAGATGAGGACAATGAAGGCTCAGAGAGGTAAGCTAACTTGCTTAGGGTCACACAGCTGGCAAGCAGTAATTTTCAACACAGATATCTCTGACTTTGTAATTGCACTTTGTCCATCATGTTACTTATTAATTTCTTACATGTGTGTTGCTCATTCCAGACAACCCACTACTTTGAGACAGCTAAAACTCTTGATATCAAGAATTCTTGCCCAGTTATATTCACTGTAACAGTAAGCCATAGGATTCATCAACAAACAAATAAGGCGTGGACTTTTAAGTCCAAAAGATTTGGGTTCAGATCCTAGCTCTCTCACTCTGTAGCTTTGTCAATAATGGTACCCGTCTTACAGGCTGTTGTTTGATGAAAAGAGAACAAAATGTCCCTGATAAGTGTTCATTTCTTTCACTATCCGCTAGCTTCTTCCCTAGGTTACTTTAAGAGAGTAAAAGTCTTTGAGCCTCAATTTCCTCCTTTTTCAGATGTTTACAGTGATAATCCGTCTACTCTATGGGATTGAGGTGAGGATCAAGTGAGATAATGCATGTGAAAGGGTTTTGAAAAATACAAAGCTCTGTGTAAACTTAAGGTAATGTTCTCCATTCCCTTAGTCCCTTTTCACTGATTCTATTCACTGGTTCAAAACCAATTAACATATCTAAATGACTTTTACATGTTAATTTGGCTTAGAAGGACCAGATGGTATCTTAGTAAATTCATGGATAAGGTAAAAGATTGGCCTTACCTGTCTATCAAGGCAAAATATGTGTTTGGAACAGACCTTCAACTAGCTGCTCTCTGCAGTTGGAGCACCTACTCTACTTCACTGTCTGGTGGCACTGGCAGAGTGACCTTGTGCTCCAGCCCACACTTTTTAAATTAAACTGAGGGGTAAACTACAGAGCGGGGATCTGGATTTGAGTTAATACATTACTATCGAGTCTAACAAGGCGTTTTGAGATTCTGTGTAGCACTTGGGAGCTGTTGTATCAATTGGGGTTATGGTGCCTTTATCTGTCTTGGGCCTTTATTGCTGCAAGATCACCAATACAGGATGAGTACCTATTTCAGAAAGGGGCACTGAACTATCTGTTCTTTCAAAACAATTGAGAAGTAGGGCTTGACTAACTTGATGTATTATTGCTGTGCAATCTTGTCTCCTTCCCAAATCAATGGTCTGGTATTGATTTCTTTGCTTATAATGATGCAAAAGCAATCTCCAAAGAACAGGTGGCAAGTGGTTATATACTGGGAGTTGTTGCCAGGTTTGGGAAAGGATGTTTTACGCTAAATGCTGAATATAAATGTCTCTTTGAAGACCCTCTTGTGTTTCCAAAAGTGCCCAATTGATTGTACAACCTTAGAGGAATAAACTACTAAACTACTAGGGCTCTGTGAACCCCACCTTCGCAGAGATAAGCAAAAGAAACCAGCAGTTAACCCGCACAAAAACTCTTTTTTCTGTTTGTCTTCTTAAAATATCCCTTCCCATACTAATTGAATTTAGAGTACTCTAACAGGTGTGACTGTCTCTTAAAGAGACTAAAAGGTCTTTAAAATGTTGCAAAAGGAAATCAGTGGTAGAATTTAGCAATTTAAAAGCCAAAGGATACTACCCCTACTCCTTAAATACCAAATCCACTGCAGTGTTAGAGTACTAAAATCTTTACTTTGTGTGTTCTCTTAGTTTGCTCGGGCTGCCATAACAAAATGTAGACTGTATGGCTCAAACAGCATACATTTATTTTCTCTTGTTTCTGGAGGCTGAAAAGTCCCAGATCACAGCTGCAGCCTATTTGGTTTCCGTTGCGGGCTGTCTTCCTTGTTTTCACCTAGCAAGCAGAGGGGGAGAAGTGAGAGGGAGGGGGAGGGCATGCTGTGGTATCTCTTCTTATGCAGACACCAATCTTACTGTATCAGGGCCTCACCCTTATGACCTCATTTAACCTTAATTACTTCTCTGTGAGACCTGTCTCCAAATACATTCACTTAGCTCCAAAGGTCTCATTCATTTTACCATCAACTCTGAAGTCTGAGGTCAAAATCTCATCTAAATATCATCTAAGTCAGATATGGGTGAGATTCAAGGTATGATTCGTCCTGAGAGAAATTCCTCCCTATCTATGAACATGTGAAACCAGACAAATTATATGTTTCCAAGATATAACTGTGAATAGGCATAGGGTAGACATTCCCATTCCAAAAGGGAGAAATCAGAAGGAAAGAAGGAAGGAATGATAGGTCCCAAGCAATTTTAAATCCTGGCAAGTCAAATTTTATTAAATCTTAAGGCCCAAGAGTAATCCTCTTTGGCTGGATACTCTGCCCTCCAGGCTCACTGGGGTGGCCGCATCACCACCGTGGTTCTACAGGGCAGCCCCACCGCGGAGGCACTGGTCACAGACATCCTGGCCCTCCAGATCTAGAGAGGCAGCCTCACCCTTTGAAACCACAGATGGACCAGCCTTGCCCGCTGGGCTTGTGGTAGGAACAGCAGCCCTGAGGTCTCGGTGTCACCTTCAGAGTCATTCTTCCCTTTCTTTGAAGAACAGTACATGTTAGCAGCCAAATAGCTCCACGATCTGGAAGTTCAGCAGCCTTCCCTTCATTTCGTCCCACTTTGTCTGTCCTTTCTAGTTCAAACTGGTAGTGTCTTTGCTAGTATAATCCCATCCGTATTCGTGGCTTCTGCTGAGATGGCTGATTAAGTCCATTAAGGCACACCATTTTCCTTTTTTTTTTTTTTTAAATAGAGACAGTGTCATGCTGTGTTGCCCAGGCTGGTCTCAAACTTCTGGCCTCAAACAATCTTCCTACAGTGGCCTCCCAAAATGCTGGGATCACATGCGTGAGCCACCGTGCCCACCCCATTTTCTCTTAATGAAATGATTGTTCAGCCACACCCTTGGTGTTCTCTTCAGATCAGACTTTCACATTACAATATGGATAGAGTAGACTGAGAATTTTACGAATCTCCAAGTTCTAGTTCTTATTTGCTCAACAATTTCTTCTTCAATTCATCTCTCTCCTGTTGCATTTTACTATAAGCAGTCGGGAGGAACCAAGCCACTCCTTCAACACTTTGCTGAGAAATTTCCTCAGCTGGAAATCCCATTTCATCTATTGCAAGTTCTGTCTTCCACAAAACACTAGAACACAGTCCAGCCAAGTTCTTTGTCACTTTGTGACAAGGATCACCTTTCCTCTAGTTTCAATAACATGTTCATTTCCTTCAGAGACCTCACTAGAATTGCCCTTAACACCCATATTTCTCTAGTGGTTGTCTGTTTGTGGTTATCTGGGCTTTTTCTAGCATGCATCTCAAAACTCTTCCTGCCTCCACCCAGTTCCAAAGCAAATCTACATTGTTAAGTATTTTTACAGTGCTACCCCACATCTCAGTATCAAAATCTCGGTCTTACTCTACTCGGGCTACCATAACAAAATACCATAGACTGAATGGCTTAACCAATACACACTGGCCGGGCGCAGTGGCTCATGCCTGAAATCCTACCACTCTGGGAGGCCGAGTAGGGAGGATCACTTGAGGTCAGAGCTCAGGACTCAAATTAGCCATGCACAGTGGCGCGTGCTTGTAGTCCCACCTACCTGGGAGGCTGAGGCAGGAGGATCGCTTGAGCCCAGGAGTTTAAGGTTGCTGTGAGCTACAGTGATGCCACTGCGCTCTACCTGAGACAACAGAATGAGACTCTGTCTCCAAAAAAAAAAGAGAGAAAAAAAGTTATACCTTTATATTTTCACAGTTCTAGGGGCTGGAAAGCCCAAGGTCAAGGTTCTGGCTCATTCAGTTTCTGGTGAGGGCTCTCCTCCTGGCTTAAAGATAGCTGCCTTTTTTTTCGCTGTGTCCTCACATTGTACAGAGAGAGAGCATGTGTGCATTTCTCTTCTTATAGGGACACTAATCTTGTTATATCAGGGCCCCACTCTTATGATGTCATTTAACCTTAATTACCTCCTTGTTTGGTCCCGTCTCCAAATACAGTAACACTGGAGGTTGGGGCTTCAACATACAAATGGCGGGGGCGGGGGGGCACAATTCGGTCTACAGCAAGTGCCGTGGTTGTCTTTGTTGTAAAATCCAGGACTTTTCCTGGATTTGAGGGTTTTCCTCTCTCATATTCTTCTAATCTTCATTCAACATTAATAGCTTTATGATTTGTATTGCTGTTAAACTAAAAGATATCACAGTACAAAATAAAGAGCTTTGGAGTCAGCTAACCTGGGTCCAAGTTCTGAATCTATTGCTCTGTAATTTTAAGCAAGTCATGCACCCTCTCTTGGTTTTCCCATCAGTGGATACTAACTACCTTACCTACCTCATAAGATTGTTATAATGCATGTGTTTATATAGTGAAGCTGATTTTATAAACTATAAAGTACATATAAAATATAATAAAACGATGCATTATTGTTACTAAC